GCTTGACTCAAAATTTAAAGTTTGGAATGAAAGTTAATGTATTATTTTTTATTTTGTTTGTATTAAAAATCCTACAAAAAAAAGAAAATAAAGTAAAAGAAATGAAAATTAAGAAAATGAAATGATTCTGAATATGTTGTTGGGTGTTTGTCTATAGTGGCGTTTGTCAAGAAAAAGCTCTGTATACGTGACCAATGGCAGCGTTTGTTAATATAAACGTCACTATATATGTAATCAATTACGGCATGATCTTTTGCAGCGTTTAGATAAAAAGGCCGCTATATAACATGACATTTTAACATGAACTTGCATATATGTTCACAAAAGCCACTAACTTTTGCGGTGCTGCCTTCACCGGTGTTTCTTGCGGTGCTCTTAATATCGTCGGGAGGGCTTTTAGCGGCGCTTAAAAACGCCACTATAAGACTAACAAACGTCGCTAAAAATTTATTTTGATGTAGTGGGGGAAGCCATTCTTTTTTTTAAATCATTTGTTAAATCGTGTACCTCATATGGTAGGGTCAGAGAGACTAGTCGTGTGTCATGAGTTTACCCCTATCTTAACAAGTTCAAGATTTGTTCATTTAGTTAAGAGAAGAATTATTGATTGTCACTATGGACTAGTTCAAGGTACGTTTACTAGTTCTTAAACAGCTTGTCTCGCTATTGCTCTTCATGTGTTTTAAAATTATTTTTTCAAAAGGATATTTCTTCCGCATTAGTGGGGAAAGTTAGTAATACTATAAAAAAATCTATCCCACATTGAAAAGGAATATACCTTTGAGAGAAATTAGATTGCACCCCATATGAATTGTGGAAATGGTATCTTCGAACCTACAATACCTGAAAGTGTGAGTGTCTTACCAAAATAAGATTTTCTGCTTTTAAGAAAACCATTACCTTCCTAATACCGTTGATGTTGTATTTATTGGTTATGCTACAAATAATGCTGCCGATAGATTTATTTCTTTTAATTTTTCCGAAGCATTACAAACAATTTTGGCGTATGATTGGTCACAGGTTTTGAAAAACTCATCTTGTTTGGTGTTTAACAAATTATTTGGACTGTTAGGGGCTCATTAACTTATATGCGCATTCTGTTTGACTCTGCATGCTACTTATGAATCTGATTTGTATTATGTGCTTTGTCACCTTATCTATAGAATTTTGCAACTGAGACTATACCTTGTGATTATGAACCTTTCATGTATGCCTATTATGCATATAAAACTCGTTTATCAATTTGTTTTGTTAATCAAAGTATTGATATCATACTTCTTGTCGTTTCTAATAATTGTGCTCGTTGTTTCTGATAGTGGTACGTATGTCTATTTTGTTAATTTTTTTTATCTTATATCCGTTTTACATCGGTTTAATCGTGCACCTTTTGATTACACATAACCTTTAACTTACTCCTCCAGTTATCTGTCCTTTTCAGATGGTTCGTGCTGTAATATAATGTACTCAGCATTCGAAAGATTTGGATCTTGGTTTTATACTTAAACAATTTAAATTTCTTTATTTTTACTTCAAATTTATGACGTGAGATAATAAACTGATTTTATGGATAATTAATTTTTCTGAAATAAATTTTTTAGTTTGTGTTTGTTATGTAATCCATTAGGTCACCCCGATAATTGATGTGACCTTTGTAATTTAATTGTAACATTTGACTCCGGTCCAGAGGGTTATAATATATGTAGTCTAAGTGGGAGATTAGTAGATAATATGAATATTATATATATATAAAGTAATAATTGTATGTTATTTAATATATCATATTGGTTAGTCCAAATTAAAAATGGTCTAATATAGTTAAGGTTGATTAGACTTTTATGATTAAATAGTATATGCATCACACTAGATATAAACCGGGGCAGTCAGGACGGATGCACTAAATTTCATAGGGATCAAATACAACCCATTATTTTGAGAAAGTAGTTAATCTAATTTAATGCCTTAAAGAAAAAATAAAAATAAAAAAATTGCATACCCATTATTTTTAACAAAAGACAATTAAAATTTTAGATTATCATTTTTAAATTTCTGGATCTGCCACTAGGGGTAGCTAGGAGCATCTATCTCTCTTGAAAATTTTAAACTATCATATAGTTTAGATTTTTTCTTTACATTTTCTATTGATAATACATTTTCGCCCCTAGAATCTTATAAACTTCTCCTCCTAAAAATTTAGAAGTTCACTCCCCTAACATAAAATCTCACGTCTCTCCTTGTATCACATATATTGTATACTAAAAAAATTGATTTCAAAATGATGATAGACTGATTATAAATTAAGATTAATAGGTAAAGTTATTTATAAGATTATGGTCAAGAAGATACACATGAGTTTATCTTTTATGATAATTGATTACTATTTTAACATTCTTTTAACATCAAAATTATTCTAAAAATGCTCTCTAAATTCTGGCCCATATGAACAGAATTTTTAGCTTGGCTCCTGCAGCAATTTTTCTTTAATTTGATATCAATGGCCCTTACTGAAACAAAGACTTACAAATTAATTTTGTTTTTTTCCTCACATAAATGGTTTTCCAGATGATGTGCATGGAGCATAATATAACCCTAAGAATAGTGATTCCATAAGAGCAATCCTTGCATTAAATTCTGAAATATATGATATATTATTTAACTTGAAAACAATGGGTTCTTTTTTTCCCCGGATTATGACCCGATTTTGGATTACATAAATGGTAGGGTAAACTATGTATTTACTCACTCAACTACCACTTTAGTTTTATTTTGGTCGCACAACTATTTAATTTAAAATTATATATAATGTTATGTTTTGGTTTCGTTTTAGTCATCCATCGTTAAAAATAAATAGACTGTTGATGTTACAAATTTTTATTTTTTCAATGATGACTTGGAATTATCTTATGGTGTCATATCAGCAGTACCATTAATTTTTTTAGTGGTGAGTGATCAAAATGAAACTAAAACATAATGTTAAGTGTGGTTTTGAAAAAGATATAGTTAGGTGACAAAAACAAAAACAAAGTGATAGTTGGATGACAAAATACATAGTTTACCCTAAATTGTAAGCCTTGTTATGACAATTAGAAGCCAAAGGAACTCGCAAAATCTTCCCATAAATTCTGTGCTTCCTCACCTTTATCTAACATGGTGCATAAAATAGCCTGTAGATATATATCAATGGGGGAAAAATGAAAAAACATCATTTGCTTAGAGAAAATGTGACTTATAAAGCTTATGAATTTACATAAATAAAGAACAAAAATCGGATTAGAAATCGAATTATCGTGACCATTAAATCATGGGTTCAATTGGTTTGATGTATTGAATTTGATAAGTGGATTTTAGAGGGGTGTAACCAACCTTGTAAAGAGTAGGCCGAACATCAAAATCCGAAATTTTTTGATCATGGCTGTTCATAAACTCATAAGCTTCTTCGTATTTCCCCTGTTTACAAATATTAATCGCACATTATCAAGGGAAAAAGACAAGAAGTTATAAAATTTTAATGCAGTTTCTGAAATACCTGACTGATCATAATTTCCACTAGTACCATGTTCATGTAATAAGCAGACTCAGGTTCCGACATTTCATATTTCTTGTATTCATTCTTCAACATGTACAGTGCTTCTTCAGGCAGGCCACGTTTCATTAGGCTCACGGCTTCTTTCTACAAAATTAAACCACAATGGCCTCAAAAGTGCTTAACAAGTGAACCCTGAACAGAGTATGTAAAGAAGTGAACCTTGAGCTGATCAATTTGATCCTTGGATGGAACCGAATGCCTCGGACCGGAGAAATGCGACCCCGGACTAATGTCCCTCACCCTTCTTCCCTCTTTTGAAGAAAGGCTCACCGTCACGTCCAGCAACGACTTGAGTGCCATTTTCCGTGGCGCCGGAGGAGCAATTTGCTGGAAAGATGGAGCTTTCTGATAAATCTGTTGCTTCGGACCGGCCATCGCTTTGAAGTTCATCTTACAGCCGCAGCCGATGATGCTTAGAGAACAAGCTAAAGCAAGAGACACCCCAACAGCCCCTCGAACAACTTTGGCACAGCCTTTTTCGTTTTCGGAAGGCTTCGATGAATTAGACCTGTCGAGTGCGAGAGGTCCCGGAGTATAGAACCGATGACGAGGCCTGTGGTTCATCATGAAACCATTCGAAACCGGAAAAGGACAGTTAAACCCGAAACGGAGTTTCGTAAATGTGGTGGGAGGAATTCGAAGGGAAATGCACGGCATAGGTCCGTAGCCAGGACAAAGTGCAGCCTCCATGAAGAATTTGGATTGAAATTAGAATACTTTTGTTTATTGATTGAGTTCTTTAACTATTAATGCAAGGTCATTGGTTTGAAGAACAATTCCTAAATAAAGAAGAGAAAACACTCAAAGCTTCAATATCCAATCTTTCAATGTTGTCAAGAAAGGCATCTGTTTGTTGCTTTACAGGGAAGTAATCTTTGTTTACTGGCAAGGCATCAGACAATATAAAAGTTTTTAGATTAAATTGCATGTTTAGTACCCTTACAATCACTTTTATTCCATTCCGGTCACCTAACTATTTTTTTTCAAAATCGTGCATAACATTTAGTTTTAGTTTCATTTTGGTCACCCGCCATTAAAAAATTAATGGTGATGTGTCACCATGATTATTGAAAAAATAAAAATAATTCTGTTAATTTTTTTTAACGGTGGGTGACTAAAATGAAATCAAAACTAAACGTTATGCATGATTTTGAAACAAAAAATAGTTAGGTGATCAAAATGGAACAAAAGTGATAGTTAGGGTGGTAAACGTATAGTTTACTCATTTTCTTTTAAAGAGACGGCTAAGGAATATTATAACTTGAGGACTATGTAGGGGATTATCTTTGCCCATCAAGCAAGCTAGAAATCAATATAATTTGATTTTTGATCACCTTCAATGGCCACATTTTTTCTGCAGTTATTTCAAAATACCCCTATCATCTTAATTTGATAAATCCTAAGCTCCATAGTATATATAACACTAATGCCTCTAATGGCAAACTCGATTCAAAAGATCAATTCAGTGAACAAATATAGAACAATAGCAGTGACAGCCACACCCTTCATCATCATCGGCGGTATTTGCATCGGTTTTGGATGGCGATATGCAAGTCGTGTATGGAATCGGAAACCGAAGCCGAATATCTCGAGGTCGATGTCGTTCGCAGCCCTCCATGGAGGTCAATTGGCATTCGAGAGACTGGTTGATTATCACAATCATGGGGGCAAGCCAACGAACGTAGAGGCTGATATTCAACAGCTGAAGGATTTACTTGGAGATGAACACCCTCGCTTCAAAGAACTTCAGGTTTGAAAAAAAAAACTTGTACAATTTAGTTCAACTCAATAATTTCATGGTTATGAAATTGAATTTTGTTATCGGAAAGCGAGTTCTTGGGAGGCTGGAAATGAGCAGAAAAGAAGATGAAGCAATGGAAGAGCTTAAAAAAGCATTGGAAAAGGCTCGGAAGGAAGTCAAATCACATGAAGCTTATGAGATTGAAATGTTGCTAGCGGAAATGTACATCTACAAGGTTTCGTCCTTAAATTTGTTTAATTTTATAACTTCTGCGACTATCTGCCATCGAAGTGACCAACTTGTTTGATTTGAAAATTTCTCTGTAGGGAGACCTTCAAAAGGCTTTGGACTGCAAATGCTTAAGAGAAGATGAGGGGGCTTCTGATGCACGGCGTCCTCTGTATAAGGTGATAAAAATGCTTATGCCCTATCCATAACTAACATCGATATTGCCATATGACCTTTCAAGGACAAATAATTCTAGGGTGAACTACGTACTTAGTCACTCACATATTTCGACGGTTTCGTTTTGATCACCTAACTATTTCCTTTTTAAAATCATATCTAATATTACTTTTTGTTCATCGGTCATTAAAAAATTAACAATGATACTAACATTTCACCATAAAATAATGTCATGGTCATCATTGAAAAAAAAATTATCACATTAGTACTTCTATTTTTTTAACGATGGATGACCAACACAAAACTAAGATGTAACTTTAGATATTATTATTTTTAAAAATAGTTGGATGATTAAAACGAAATCACATAATAGTTTAATAACTTAATGCGTAGTTTAGAAAAACAGAACAACTGACGTGGTGATTTTTTCCAATTATGATATGACATTACCTTATGGTGACATATGAGCATCATTGTTAATTTTTTAATAACGGATGATCACAACGTAAATTTAAATTTGATTTAAAAAAAATAGTTAGATAATCAAAATGAAATTACAAAAATAATTAAGTGATTAAATACATAATTTACCCATAATTTTAGCATGCTCATCTCAAATACCTACTTGTATCCAATACCACAACATGAATTAAAGTTGCATAGATTTTATTTATTTAATTTCCAATTCATAGAGTTTTAAATTTAATTAAAACCTCAATTGTTATTTTAATAGGTCCTAAGTTCGAGAACCATTTTAATGTCCATTGTCAAAAAATTAAAAAATTAAAACAAATACTATCACTTGTAATCATCCTAGATTAATTATAAAAAGTTACTGACACCTGTGGTAATGAATATTAAATTTGTAGGCTATTATTTCCTTGATGAACCAGAAAGAGCAAGAAGCCCGAACCAACTGGAAAGACTTTAAGGAGATTCAACACATGACAGTACCACCAAGTTTCTATGAAGAAGAGTTCACTGAATTTAAGAATGCAGTGAATCTGCTCAAACAAGATGTTGGTGCAGCAACTCAAGGCAAAAGAAAATAATTGTGTTCCGGTAATGGTTTCAACCCGAACAGAAGTGCTTCATAGCCCCTGTGCACTTTATTACACTATTTGAAGATTTGGGTTTCCAATATTTTCTATTACTTGGTATGATAAGGTGGGGTTATCCATTATGTGGCCTTGTAAGAAAATAACTTGTTCAAATAAAAAATAAGGTCGATACTAAACCCTGGATTCGTGCTGTTCAACGTTTCTCGAATCCTTAAGATTCAATTATATAAACAATCTCAAGTTCCATGTAATTGTATAAACAGTCCGTAAACAATGACGTAATTCAAAAGTACTAACGCACTTGAACCCAAAAAGTTGTTAAAATAGTACTGTTTCTTATAAAGATATTAAATTCAAACAATTATTTTCGTGAGTACGTGTATATTATCATTAATTAAAAATATTTTAAATATTTATTATTTCATAATCTCTTAAAACTATTAAAAAATATTAGTAATGCACTTTTGATTTCCTTTCGTTCATTAAAATAAAATAGAATTAAAAACAACAATTGTAGGCAGTTTAGTGGAGCGGGTTCCACGTCCATGGTGGTGGGCAGTGGCGGACGCACTAAGCCATCGTAGGGGTTAAATGTATCCCCATTATTTTAAAAAAGTGATTAAATTTAGTTTAATATGTTAATGAAAGAAGAAAAGAATTATAATTTTTGCATATTCATTATTTTTAAGAAAATAAAATTAAAATTTTAGATCCCTATTCTTAAATTTCTAAATTCGCTACTGGTGGTGGGATGAGAACGAAAATTTGATTCACTATGGGTGGTAAGATAAGTATGAATATGATATTATATTCGTCTCAATTTTACTCGTCTCGCATCATTGTTTGCATTTAAATACTATGTATAGATTTTATTTTTTAAATTTTATGAACTCGTGTTGAATTTATATTTTTTTAGAGACGGCTCTATCTTTTAAAATCAGATGATATTATTATCTATAATTTTATCATATTTTGTTGATCATCAACCATAAATCTATCGACTATAATTTTCTATCTAAATTAAAATGAATGCATCACTTACATCCGTCATAATACTAGCGCTCATCAACAATGACATTTTATATCGAATTCTATTTAAATTTTTACCAGAATCACTAATTTCCATTTTCTAGTCTCCCCACAAGAAAAGCATTTTAAAAGTTTTAATATCTCTTAAAACAACAAGCATTGGATGCATAAATAAATGCCGCTAACATAAAACGAATGGAAATTTTCTGCTCCTTTTGGTGTCTCTACTGATGCCTCTCCAATAACATATTCACACATGGATCGATTATTAATTTATTAAATATATTATAATCGTTAATAAATTTACTGTCAATTCACCGTTAACACTAAAAAGAACAATCTTCCGCAGCTAAACACCAGATGCAGCGTTCCCTGTCTTCCTTTCCTCTTTCTCTGTACTTCATCAAATAGATCCTTACTTTTATCCCCAATGTCCTCTTCCTCCCCAACCTATCTCACTGACTTAGGCCTCGGTTACTCCATCGTCACCGCCATAGGTTTCCTCGTCCTCCTCTCCACCATCCTCCTCGCTTTCTACATCTGCTACCGCTCCTCCGTTTCGCCTCGCGCTCTCTCCCAATCTCACCGTCATTGTTGCCAACTCCGATGGAATCATACTCCTGAGAATTGTTTTCGTTGTCGAGGACGAAAACAGTGAAATATCATGGCCGGTCTTGGTCTCGAGCAAGCAATTATAAATTCTTACCCAAGGTTCCAGTTCATTTAAGACTCGACCGCCGCGGGTTCTAGTAACTTGAACACAACGTGCTCGATTTGCTTGTGTTGAAACTCAACGGGTCTTGTTCCCTTTGTCGGAACTCGTTGTTACACCACTTTCCACTCCGTTGTAGGAAGTTGTATTATTATCTCAGTTCGCGGTTGATAGTATTCTAAATCGATAATATTTTTTTGTTAATTCTTCGATATTGTAGATTTATTGCTGTTAATTGATTGTATTATATTTATTTTTGTGTATGATCTTACTTTTTAGAATTAACAAGAAAAATAACACATTCTGCATTTTTATTATTATTTGGTCACGGCTAAAGACATAGTCACGACTCTGGACATGACACGGTTTGACGTGATAATTTCTAGAAGGTTCAATCAACAGTAGTTTTCTAAAAGATATAATCAGCACTTTTTTGAAAGGTGGACAGGAAGAGATATCTTAAGAAATTTAAAGTTTGAATTTGAATAGAACATTTGAAATTTTATGTAGTATTATTTTTATTTCATGTTTATCTCAAAGATTTTAGCTTAAATATTTTAAGATTTATATTTTATTTTATCTTTGTTTTTAGTATTTTAGTTTAAATAATTTAAGTATTTTCATTAGATATTATATCTTTATTTAGGAATTATATTTTCTTATTTTTAGGATTTTGAAGGTTATAAATACCTTTTTAGTGTAAGCCTAGAAACACGTTCAAAAAATCATTCTTCTTATTTCTCTAAATTTTAATAAAAAAATTTCTTTTCTTTTTCGAAGCTCTTCTTTATTTTATTTTTATTTTTAAAGATGCTAAGTATGATTGTCATACTTAGTTAATTTTTTCATAATCAAAGTCTGAAGTGATGACTCAATCCCTATTTTGAGGATTGAAAAGCACCAAAATAACTTCAAGTTATTTTCTCAATTTTCTAGAGGAATAAGATTAGTATCGACCTATCTTTTTAAATTCAAAATGCTTTTTAATAAAAAAGTCGACGTTGGTTCGAAAGTTATTCTTATTTACAGTTGGGAGGGAGAATCGGCTGGTAGCAAGTTCGACTTTCTGTGAACACACTTAGCGGTGGTTTGCTAAGGGAAATTGAGATCAGACTAGATTCTCATTGAGGCAACATAGTCCGAGTCGGGTTTTTTTCCAGATTTATAAAACAGGTTGGTGCTAACGACGATAATCGTAGTTAGTCTCCATAAAAGATTGATATCAAAAAATAGATTTTAGTTTATCGGTTCACAAGAGAGAAAAACAAGTTACAGGGGTTGGACCCTGTAGATTGTAACCGACAAATAGCCGAAGCAAAAATCTATTTCGACTATCAACAAGAATTTGAGGCAAAGCTGAAGTGCGATGCTAATTTCACTATAATTTTCTCTTTATCTCAATCTCTTTAAATTATTTATTTAATTATTTTCTTTTATTTTAAAAACAACTTTTAAAATCCCTTATTTAATTTCATCCAAAACTCTACCTTATCTACTCTACCTTATCTCATCATTTTCTAAATCAGGAAGTTCATTTCATCAGAAACACCAGAGTCCCTGTGGACTGGCCATGCTTTATTACGCTAATCTATCTCTTTATTTATTTATTTATTTTTAAGAAGTCATAATTATTTTGACAGTAAAATGACACCTGACATCTGAAGGAGTAGATGACTTTTAGGGGAAACAAGAGTATTTAGTTTGCCGGATGCTTTACGTGCAGAGTATGAAATTAGTTACGGGATTTGTTCCATAAATTATATGCTCTTAACTTAAATTTTGAAATGAATAATTTGCAGCTATGTTTATGTTCTTTGATTATTTCACCCCTTTGACATCAAATAAAATACCAACAGCTAAAATCTGATGAGGCAACGGAGTAGAATTCGAGAGTATATCAGAGGTTGAAGAGTACTTGAGATACTCATGAATGGATTGGGGAAGAAGATGACATTGGGAGTGAAGGTAAGGATCCATTTGATGAAGTACCGGAAAAGAGAAAAGGAAGACAGTGGACGCTGCATTTGGTGTTTAGCTGTGAAAGATTGTTTTTTAGAATTAACGGTGGATTAAATTTATTAACATTTACAATATATTTAATAAATTAATAATTGATCCATGTGTCAATATGTTATTAGAGGAGCACCAATACAGATACCAAATGGGGCAAAAGATTTTCATTCACATAAAACATGCAAATATTACAATTTTTTAAAACAAATTACAAACAATACTTAAAATATATAAAAACAAACAAAAATATCCTCAAACATGAATAATAAAAAAAGAAAATATAAAGTTTAAAATTGTCTAACTCTCGGCAAAAGTGGCTACGTATAAGGAAACTTGACTCGATCGCTTCAATCTGTATTGCAAGGAAGAAAGAAGTACCGAACAACAACATGGCATCAAAGCAAATAGAAAGTCACCGAGAAGGTGCGGAGATCTACAATGAACCGAGTGTTTGCAGGCAAAAAGTGGAAGAACTCCTGGACCAATGCCACATTCCCAAAGGGCTTATGCCTTTGACCAACCTGGTGGAGCTTGGTCACAACAACAGCTCAGGCTTCATCTGGCTGAAACAGGCCAAGGCCACCAAGTATAAATTCAAGGAGCTCGGTGCCACCTCGTACGGTCCCGAGATCACGGCATTCATCAAAGATAGGGAGTTGAAGAGCTTGACGGGTATTAAAAGCAAGGAGATGATTATTTGGGTTACACTTGCTCATGTTACTGTGGATGATAGTGAAGATCCTGGCAAAATCACTTTCTCTACTACTATGGGACTCTCCAAGACCTATCCACTCACTGCAATTGAAGATGATCCCAAGGAGATGAAATGAGGTTTTCTTCTCCTTCCTTCTTTTAATCATATGGAATAAAGATTGCATAATGTAACGTATCTTTGTGAATTTGTGTTGTTTGTTTGGGACTAATAAGAATATATATGTCTCTCATTTGGTTTATATATATTTCACATTCAATTCTTTGCTTTATAAATAAAAGAAAATGTGTGAAAGAAGAAGGAAATGCCAACGCTCTTAGCACCATTGAGGTTACCCTAGGGAATGTATAGAGGAGATTGGAGGGACTTGATCATTGTTTCAAGGCAATCTACTCAAAAACCATTCAAGTTTTTAAACATTTGCACCAAATATGATGCATTCTAGATCACTGTCTCGGATTATTTGCATTCACTGCATTATGGAAACATCTCGGAGACGGTGGGGTGCATATATAAGCAAATTTTGATGGAGCTAATCTTTATATAAAAACTTTTATGGATACATCTTCAGGGATAAACGTTTGGTTCAGCACTTTCAGCAAGGCTTTACAATAATCATACAATGTACCTCCGAGTTCATCAGTAGATCTAGTATAATCACATTTTTTTTATATAAAATTTAAATTAAATAATTAAAAATAATAATTTGAGGTAATATATATTTATATAAATATAAAATTTTCCTTCCACCATAATGTGTTAAATAATATAACTTTATAAATTAATTTTTGGGTAAACTACGTGTTTAGTATTCCAACTATCATTTTTGTTCTATTTGGTCAACCAACTATTATTTTTTTAAACCCAGATCTATAGTTATATTTTAGTTTCATTTTGGTCATTCACAGTTAAAAAAAATAGCATAATTGCTAATGTGGAATTTTGAAAAAAATTAATGATGATGCGACATTACCTTATGGTGATACGTTTGCATCACCATTAATTTTTTAACAGTGGATGACCATCATGAAACCAAAACGTAAAGTTTGATATGATTTTGGAACAAAATATAGTTGAATGACCATAACATAACACAAGTGATAGTTGAAGTATTAAACGTGTAGTTTACCTAATTTTTTGGTACTATGGATTTTAATAGTGCTCAACTAGAAGAGCTATAGTGACACAGAAGAGATACAAGTGGAACTTTTACTTAAAAAGAGATCCTGGTTTGCCTCTCTTCCCTCGTCTAAACTTAAAAAAAAATAGAGTAAAAGGAGCTAAAGAGAGAAGCTGAAAGCCTTTACCAAAGAGAAGATGACAGAAAGCTGTTCAAGTAGCAAATGGGTCTTACTTTTGATGCTTATATTTGGTCATTTCTCTTCTATTTCACTGGCTCAAGATGGTACTTACTCTTTATCTCTTTCTCCATTCTCAATCTGCTCTTGGTTTCATATTTGCTGCAACTTAGTTGAGTTATGCTGCATGGGTTTTTGTCATGCTCCATATCTGTTCATTACATAAAGAGCTCTAATTACAAGTTAAATTGGTTATAATAAGTTGATTATGTTTAAAAGCCTTATTTCTTCAATTCTTTGTCATTCTCTGCAAATTCCTACATGAATTTCCTGCAAAGATTCTAATCTCTTCTTCTTCCCTTTCCTGCAAATTCTAATCACCTTCATTAACCGTTTATTGTATAATTTCAGTAAATACTAAAGACTGAGCTTCAATGGAGTCTGTGTTGAGATTTGTACAACTCTAAGTTTGTTTGAATTTTAATTATAAGTCTAAAGGTGGGCCTTAAGTATCTCCCAACTCCCAAGGACCTTAATCTTTTGCTTCTTTTTTCTTGCTCGTCTTAATTCAAAGTGTTTCAATGGAGGCTGGTAATAATTTCAAATATGATCTAAATAAAAACACTGCACCAAAATTATTCGAGACATTAGATGAATTCTTTTCCCCAGTCATTGTCGCCTACATTACGAATCATCCATGTGGGGTTGTAGCATTTTGCACAGGCCCAAAGTTACATTATTAATCAATAGGGTAAACTACACATTTAGTTCCTTAAATATCACTCCAGTTCTATTTTAGTTACCAAACTATCTTTTTTAAAAGTATACCTAACGTTTAGTTTTGATTTCATTTTTATCATTCACTGTTAAAAAATCAACTATGATTTGATGTATCATAAAATAATATCACATTATCATTAAAAAGAAATAAAAATGTCACATCAATATTCAACTAATTTTTTTATGGTGTATGACTAAAATGAAATCAAAACGTAAAGTTATGTATGATTTAAAAAAATTGGGTGACCAAAACAAAACAAAATTAATAGTTACTAAAGACATACTTTACCCTAACCAATAATATAGATTCTCTTTTTTCCAATCGAATAATTCTAATTTGACATTACATAGTTCTACTGTAAGAAGAGGGTTATTTACCTTTGAAGTAAGAAAAGTTGGTAAACTAATGAAAGACAATGTCAAAAAGTTAACTTGTTGAGGGTAAATGATTTTGACAAATGGGTGCTTAAGGTGACCGAAATGACCAAAGAGGGTCAATTACACCAAAATATCTATTCTTTCTCTCCTTAATATAACAAACGACAAGGGTTCTTTCGACAAATCCTTTTCCATTTTTGTAGAGAATCCCAAATTTCCAGCTAAGTTGTGTCTCACGGTCATGATACAAACCAAACCCTTCTACTTAGGGGATGGTGTAAGAAAGTGAGATAGATGAACCGGTGGGGTAGGGGCTCACACGGTTAGGTCAAGCTGGTAGCTGGTTCATGTTGGGCTGGGACCAGTCTCACATCAATCACTTCATTTTTTTGTCCGTGTTTGAAAATGAAAGCTTCTTCTTTTTTGTCTGCATGCAATGTTTGGCGTATCGTATTCTCTAGGAAATTTCTTTCTTTATCAGGGTATGAACTATCCTTTCAGCGTGAGGCTAGTAAATAAGATGAGGTTATCCCAAAACTTGTTTTTTTTCCCGAGCTAATAGATTTTTGGTTGCAAATGTCATGCATGAATTCCATCAGCCACACGTTGAGTTATAAATCAGGGTAAAGTAAACAAATGGTTACCACTATTGAACGTTATTTTGTTGAGTATTTCAAATGGTCATTAGATTATTTATATGTTCTAATTTTATTATTTTCTGTTAAAAAATTAGTAGCCGTATGAGATGGACGTTAACATGTTTATTATGATATGATAAAATCTGATTCTAGAACTCTTTGATTTGTATTATGTGGATCGATTCTCCATTTACATTATATCGTTGAGTTAGTGTTTAAAACATTATATCATCAAGTCAGTATTTGAAAGTAACGACGGTAGCAATAGACATTATTAAAATATAATTTTATCATATCCTGATTAGACGGTCATTAATTTTTTAACGAAAAAAAGATAAACTTGAAACATAAAAATAATTGAATAATTATTTTATAAGTTTTAATAATTAAAGAACTTAATAAAATAACATTCTATATCTAAAGAATTATTTTATGATTTATAATAGTCCGAGAATTTAATAAATAGGTATAGTACTTTACCCTTGAAAGCAATACAAGAAAAAAGATGGGTCGGTGATAATTTTTACTTTTGTTTGGTAGGAAACTGCACAAATATTTGTCTGATATTTTGATGGGCGAACTGAGAGATTTACCGAGCATCAGCAAAATTTTCTCGACAGTGAAACATTTCTGCTATTGTACTTATTTTCTCAAATCTTTATGTCGTCAATCCTATCCGCACATGTGCTGATAATCATACTTGTCATTGGTAATAATTAATGGGGTTATGTAATCAAATATCATGGACAATAATTTTTACCAAATGTTAAACAGAAAACAAAATTACATTGCATTTATTGTATAGGGCTGGTGGTAAATGGTGATTTCGAGACACGTCCATTGAACGGCTTCCCGAGTGAGGCAATAACGGATGGGCCCGTTGAGATCCCTAGCTGGAGATCAATCGGCACGGTGGAGCTGGTGGCGTCTGGGGAAAAAGTGGGTGGCGGGATGGTGCTCATTGTTCCCCGAGGCACACATGCCGTTAGATTAGGCAACGACGCGGAGATCAGCCAGGAACTGACGGTGGAGAAAGGATCATCCTATGCTGTTACTTTCAGTGCGGCACGCACTTGCGCGCAGATGGAGTCATTGAACGTGTCGGTTCCTCCAGCATCGCAGACAGTTGATCTCCAAACACTGTACAACGTGCAAGGCTGGGACCCTTACTCGATTTCTTTTGCGGCGGCGGAGGAGAAAGTGCGGTTGAGTTTTAGGAACCCGGGAATGGAAGATGACCCGGAATGTGGACCTATCATTGATGATATTGCCATCAAGAAACTCCAAGTTCCTCATAAACCAAAAGGTAAATTGATTTTTGTTTTTTCTTCTTCCCTTCGGCTCCCATTAAACGTCTTGCATATATCCTTAGAACCAAAACCCAATGAATATAAATAAAAAATGTAGGATATATCAAGACTATATTTTAGATATGAAAGTGTACTTGAATTAATTAACGTTTAAAATTTGAGTATTTCTTTATTATGATCTTATGATAAGATATATCTTCTATTATTGTAAAAACTATTTGATAATATAAGAGTAATATAAGTCGACATATTTCTTGAAAATTAGTACCTCTTCATATAGAATGAATATCAAATCAATATATTAAGTATTTATATTTTTTTTATCAAATTATAAATACATTTTATGATATATATAATTTAATACCTACAATACATATGTAACATAATTAATTATTTAATTTTATGTTATGTTTTATAATAATATTCTACATTATATATATGTGTCTACGATGATAGATTTTAATCCAATAATATATGCATATGATCTCAGATAATGCAGTAGTTAACAGTGGCTTTGAGTTCGGTCCTTGGATGTTCCAAAACGTATCTCTTGGAGTCCTACTCCCAACCAATCTCGATGAAGAAACTTCCCCAGTACCAGGATGGATGGTCGAATCGATCAGGGCGGTCCGATACATAGACTCCAACCATTACGCTGTCCCGGAGGGCAAACGTGCGGTCGAGTTGGTCTCGGGCAAGGAAGGCATCATTTCT